ATTCAATTTTTATTTTCAAAACCATTTTTTTCAAAATTTTTATTATAAGATCTTGTAAATTTTTTTACTTACTTACTTTACTTTAATGGTTTGTTGCTCACACACATACATAAATTATTGTAATTTTTACTAACACTATTGAAAGAACTGAATGAAATTCTCTCCCACTAACAAACCTCTGTGACTCAGAGTTGCCATAAATGAATAATTCGAAGATCCCTCTAATAGAAAAAAATGCATGACGTGTTCTGATACTAACAAAAGTGACAACATGTGGAATAGACAATACCTTAATTACTTACTTAGCTGACTTGTTACAGAACGGTTGTTCCATAAGCCGAGGTTAAAAAAGATTTCCAAGCGCGTCGGTCTTGTGCGCATCTCCTCCAATTTGAAAGACCACGTTCCAAGATGTTGTCTTCTACTTGATCTTTCCACCTAGCCATCAGTAGGCTGCCTTTTGAGCTGTGGCATTCTCATTCATTCGCACAACATGGCCTAGCCACCGTCATCGCTGCAGCTCAATACGATTGACTATGTCGATGTCGGCGTATAAATTATGAAGCTCGTGGTTACCAGTCCATAATATATGGGCTTACTTACTTACTTAGCTGGCTTATGACAGAACGGTTGTTCCATAAGCCGAACTTAAAAAAGATTCCCAGGTGCGTCGGTCTTGTGCGCATCTCATCCAAATTGAAAGACAATTTTCCGAGATGTTGTCTTCTACTTGATTTTTCCATCGGATTCGTGGCCTTCCCCTTCTGCTGGCTTTTATATGCTTTTTTGAGGTGAGACATCTTAATCCATTCTCAAAAGATGGCCTAGCCAACGTAGTCGCTGCAGCTCGATCCGTCTGACTATGTCGATGTCCGAGAATAGCTGGTACAACTCATGGTTCATTCGACGTCGATATTCAGCATCGACGCAAATCTGCCCATAGATCATCCGGAGAATTGTTCTCTCAAACCCTCCAAGAGCTGCCTCATCTGATTGCGCAAGTACCCATGCTTCTGATCCATATACCACCACGGGTAGTATCAGCGTCTGGTAGAGTGTAAGTTTGGTCAGGAGAGAGGTGGCCTTGCTTTTGAGTTGCTTACTCAGAATTTTAATATCATGGCCAGGGCAGCGGTCATATGCGGTTTCTAGGCGCTCCTAAAAAAATGTCTTTGGTCTGTTCATCTTTGTCTTCCGTCGGATCATGGGCGCAAATAAGACTGATGTAGAAGAACTTCGTTTTTATACGGATTATAGCAATTCGCTCATCTACTGGAGTGAATCTGGAGACGAGGTCGTTTATTCTCCTGTTAACCATAAATCCTCAACCAAATGCATGTCTTGAGCACATCCGCCAAAGCGAAAACTGCGCATGTTCTGCACAACGTGCGCACATTCCAAGTGCAAATTCTCAGATCGTGGTCCTTTATACGTTTGCGGGGTTCGTTAACATTAAGGGGGTTTGGTTTTCTTTTTCTTTGCTTTTTCATAATCGGAGGGGTTTTCCGAGTGTGGGCAACTAACCTCAACCCATTTTTTATAGTTCTTATGAGTTAACTCGCGGCACATATCAGCTCACTATTTCAACGGGTGATGAAAATAGCTACTCCAGGTGACATCGCGGGGAGGACAGTGTCCACAATTTAGTTTCAACTGCTTCAGCGTATACATAGATATTCCGTCAGGGCCCAACGCTTTAGATGGCTTAGCGTTACGGATGACCCGTGCAACATCACCCATTGTAAACTGTGGTACCTCATCGGCGGGAAGAGATCTTCGCTTCGCCCTGTCGCTCTCGGGATGATGGACAAACTGTCGTCTAAAATAACTGGCGCATCTATTTGGGTCAGTCACAGTTTCATCGTTAAATATGACTGAGGCCCCATAATCCTTCTTGCCAGTGTTCGAGAGCGACTTAATCCTTGACCACAGTTTACTTACACCGGTACTGATGTTGCAATTATTCAGGTGCTCCAACCATTTATTCCGCTTCTGCTCCGCTAACTAATGTGTTGACGTCCAACGTAAGTTCCCTGATCCTGGGATCTGCTGGGTTATATCGTCGGAGCTCATCACGCTCATTTGCTAGACCAACTGCTTCTACTGGGAAATTAGGTCTCATCATCTCTCATCTAGCGCAGCAGCTTTAATGATGTCCCGGAATTTCCTCCCTGTTACCCGCACAGAAAGAATGGAATGTTCTCTGAAGGTTGGTGAACTCTCTGAATCCTTGCCAGTTGGCTTTCCTATGGTTGAGGAAAGTGCAGCGTTCAGAGATTTTGAAAAGAAATGACGGGATGCCAGTTGACGCCATTTATCAGACCTGGTGACACAATGGCTATGTCTGGCGAACTTATTCTGGTGGGGTATCCTCATTTACCGTGCAGAACGTGTATCTATCGATTGGCTCTGACGGCTATTGCGCTCCAATAGAAAACTATATAGAAAACGCAAATAACGCGTTCCACAGCTGTTAATCGCCGGTATGCAAACGTTAAACACCTCTACATTAGCAGTACCTACCATTTCACTGCTACATCAATACATTCCATGTATGGTTCACTAGAGTCAAGCTCAAGCAAGATAGGCCTCTATTGGACAGAGTGGTGCATATGGAATGCTAGGCCCTCCACATCTGGTGCGATCCTTCCTCAGAACGTTGTAACCATCATAACGCCGCAGACTACAATTATCATTGAGCTTGGTTTTTTCCACCGCCGCGGCCAAGATATTTTTCTATTTTTCTTCAAAGACCGTTGCAATTAAATTGCAGAAACAATGCACTATCAGGAGTAGGGACAGCAACGTGCGGTGTTAAAGGCTGCATATTGGGTTTCTGTTGAGGAGACTGTGGTGGAGTTCCGTAATCCGACGAAGAAGATGACGAAGACTCGCTGGAGATTGCGCTGTAGCAGCACGAGGCAACGTAATCTCATTCGCTGATAATCTATTAGTCTAGCAACCGGGCCAACCCGGAACAGTTCCTCAAGTTCACACACTCCCTGCACCCATTACATCTCACCGACACTGACCTGTGGTGAATACGGAATAGGGACCAATACGATATCGTAGAACCCGCTGCCGTGGGATTGAGCTACTTTTATGACTCTCTCTGTCGCTTTCCGGGAAACCAAATGTTTTAGACTCCCAAGGAATGGTTATGGTGGCTTAGGAATGGAGCCTGCGGCTTAATTTGACTCAACGCTGGGAAATTTCCCCGGTCCGAACATAAGTGTGTAATATAGATTGATAGCCGACTATTTTCAACCTGTTGTGCGTAAAATTGTGTCAAATGACGAACTGGTTCAAAAGAAATATTCCGCAAAAGGAACGAACGGTACTATGTTCAATTCTTTCGGTACTAAATTCGATCTTCCCGTTCATTGAACTAAACGGAACTATGAAACTAAATGAATGAATGACCTAGTTCCTAGTTTGCGGAGTGAACCGAAAAAAAATCGAACGGCTTGGAGAGAGAGATTGACCATCTCTAAAATGTTGATTAGTTCACGAGGGTATATTTTGCCATTTAAAAAAATCTCTTCACCCATTTTCAACCAATTTTAAATAAAAAATTATGTTCAGATCGCAGCCATTGTTGACTTTTAGGTATATTTTAATCGATCATAGACCCTTTTTCTATTTTTCCTGAATTTATTAAAAAAGTGAACTGAATTCCGAAATTGTTTACTAAAAAAATTATATTCGATTTAGAATCCAAAATTGGCCAAAAACTTAAATAACATTTAAGATTATCTATCCTCTCTGTCTTTCCCCCCTACTAACCTAAAATTAATTTTAAAATTATAAACTATTTTTGATTAAACCCACCACATCAAACAATATATTATACCCTATATATATCTTTAAGGTTCCGGTATACCCGAAATGAAAACCATTCTACGAGGGGTGGCCCTAAAAGAATATTTAACCTTTAAGACATTAGTGGCCAAAATTGTTGGTTTAACGGCAACTTTGGGCAGTGGTATGCCATTAGGAAAGGAAGTAAGTATTAAAATTGTCAAAATACAACAAAGCGCACAAACGAACGGCAGGGTTGCCAACATCACTTTTTAATTTTTTCTATTTTTATTTCGTTTCATCATCCGTATCCCATAGGGTCCATTCGTACATATAGCAAGTATTGTAGCACAATTATTAAGTAAGCTAGTAACATCATTCCAAGGTATCTATGAAAATGAGTCGCGCAATTCGGAAATGTTGGCCGCTGCCTGTGCAGTGGGTGTGGGTGCATGTTTTGCGGCTCCAGTTGGCGGTAAGTAAAACTTGCTTTCTTTATAAAATTCATAGGTTTGATGTTCCTCTCTTGTGTTCCTGCAGGTGTATTATTTAGTATAGAAGTAACAACAACGTATTTTGCGGTGCGTAACTATTGGCGTGGCTTTTTTGCGGCCGTTTGTGGTGCTACAGTGTTTCGTCTATTGGCCGTATGGTTCCAGAATGCCGATACTGTGCGGGCTGTATTCTTAACAAATTTCACTACGGAATTTCCATTTGATCCTCAGGAATTGTTTGTGTTTGCGTTGATGGGGTAAGTTTAAAGGATACACAACTTTTTAGATATTCAGCAAGGCTTTCTTAGAAAAATCTCTATTCCGATAGGCTAAATAATAGATTCCCAATAAAAAACACTATTCAGCTGGGCTGCATAGCAGATTTCATTTAGAGAACTCTATTCAGCATGTCTGAATATGATATTTCCTACAGAAAACTCTATTCAGCCTGGCTGAATAAGATATTTCCTACAGAAAACTCTATTCAGCCTTGCTGAATATGAGATTTCCTACAGAAAACTCTATTCAGCCTCGCTTAATATGATATTTCTCAGAGAAAACTATATTCAGCCTTGCTGAATATTATATTTCCTAAAGAAAACTCTATTCAGCCTGGCTGAATATGACATTTCCTAAAGAAAACTCTATTGAGCCTGGCTGTATATGCGATTTCCTAAAGGAAACACTATTCAGCCTGGCTGAATATGAGATTTCCCCAAGAAAACTCTATTCAGTCTGACTGAAAATGAGATTTTCTACAGAAAACTCTATTCAGCCAGGCTGAATATGAGATTTCCTATAGAAAACTCTATTCAGCTAGGCTGAATATGAGATTTCTTATAAAAAACTCTATTCAGCTAGGCTGAATATCAGATTTCTTATAGAGAACTCTATTCAGCCAGGCTGAATATGAGATTTCCTATTGAATACTCTATTCAGCCGGGCAGAATATGAGATTTCCTATAGAAAACTCTATTCAGCCGGGCTGAAAATGAGATTTCCTACAGAAAACTCTATTCAGCTAGTGTTTGATAAAAACAAACCCAACCGAACTGTTCTAACATATTTAATTTTCATTTGTATTTCAGGGTAGTTTGTGGTCTTGGTGGTGCTGCTTATGTCTGGGTACATCGAAGATACGTCTTGTTTATGCGCTCGAATAAGAAGATGAACAAGTTCCTCCAAAAGAAGTAAGTATCTACACCGCGGAGATTTTTTAAAATTTATTTTAATAGGGTCCTTCCGTAGGCATGGGTTCTTTTAAATTATTTTATTTGGGGCGTCGTTTTTATTAAAAATATTTTTTCCACATCCTTCCAGAGATGTGGATTTATAAAAATATTTTTCTATAAAAAATCAGTACTGACTTCTTCATTTGCTTCTTCTTTCCAGTCGCTTTTTGTATCCTGGCTTCTTGGCTTTGTTGGTATCAACGATTTCCTTCCCCTTGGGCACGGGCCAGTTTATTGCCGGTGAATTGGGTACCCATGAACAGGTCACCCAGCTGTTTAGTAACTTTACCTGGTCTCGCGACGATTTGACCGTGGAACAGGCCGCCATTGTAACCCATTGGGTAACACCCTACACCAATGTATTTATCAATCTGACATGCTATGTTATATTTACGGTAAGCTCTCCGGAATTAAAATCAGAATTTCAAAAATTTTAAAAATCCTTTCTCTTCCAGTTCGTCTTCTCCATTATTGCCTCCACAATACCCGTACCCTCGGGTATTTTCATACCCGTCTTCAAAATTGGTGCCGGTTTGGGCCGTTTGATAGGTGAAAGCATGCATTTGTGGTTCCCCAACGGGGTGCGCTATGGTGGCCGCCTCTCACCCATCAATCCCGGCGGTTATGCTGTTGTAGGTGCTGCCGCATTTTCGGGAGCTGTCACTCACACCGTCTCCGTGGCGGTGATTGTCTTCGAAATGACTGGCCAGATTACGCATGTGGTGCCGGTGATGATAGCTGTACTGATTGCCAATGCGATAGCAGCCCTACTCCAGCCCTCTATGTATGATAGTATTATACTTATCAAGAAGTTGCCATATCTACCCGATCTGTTGCCCTCAAGCTCGGGTATGTATAGCATCTATGTGGAGGACTTTATGGTACGCGATGTCAAATACATTTGGCAAGGCATCACCTATCAGCGTCTCAAAGAAGTACTGAAGAGTAATAAGACTCTGCGTTCCCTGCCGCTGGTCGATAGTCCGGAAAATATGATCTTACTCGGATCGGTGCAGCGTTACGAGCTGATCAAAATGATTGAGAAACACATCGGGCGTGAGAAGCGTATGGAAGTGGCCCAGAAATGGAAGAAGGAAGCCGAGGAGCGGATACGCGAAGAGGAACGTAAGAAGCAGGAAGCCGAACAGCGTATGCGCCGCCCCTCACGTTTCGAAGTTCTGCCCGCTCCCGATATTTTGAGCCTACGCCAAATTGCCAACGATGAAATGTTACCGCCCAAAAAGAAGCAGGAAACCCTCAACAATACCCTCCAGCCTCGCAAATCCATTCTCAAAAAGACAAACTCATTTAATCTTAAAGCCTTTACACCTACCTCATTGAATAGTCCTAGCATAACGCCATATTCCACAATAACCGGTGCCGAACAGCGCATCCGTAATGCGTTCGAGACCATTTTCAAGAAATCTACCACCTTACAAGATGTTCAGCCGAGCGGTGATGACCAGGACCCGGGTTCAATATCTGCGGCGGCTAGTACGGGTGATATGACACCGGGTACACCGACTGTCCAGAGGGCGCCCAGTACACCGGGTATCTCGAAAAAAGTTCAATTGGTGAGTGATGAAGTTTTAATTTTTGTTGGTTTGTTTGGCATGGGGTTTGAATAATTGTTATTGTTATTGGTGTTTGTGTTTTTGTACTAACCTCTATTGTTGTTTTTGTAATTATTTATTTATTTTGTTGTTGTTGTATTTTGTCTCTCTGCATTTTATTTACGAACAAAAAGAATGCACAAAACAAACCTCAATCGGAGGAGGATGCAAATATGGTAATACATTTTTAAAACTCTTTCACGGTTCAAACTGAAGCATGGTCACTGAAATTCTAATCCCCTCTTTCCAAAAAAAAAATCCCCTGTGGTCCTACCGCTCCTTTATCCCAGACAGGTAGTCTAAATATACTTATTCCGACTTAGACTTATTGTTGAAAAAACCACACCTGTGTTGGGGTGTTGAAAAAATGGAAGGACCTTGAAAACATATTTTTAAAAAATCCACGCCTATGAAAGGACCTTGAAAACATATTTTAAAAAAATCCACGCCTATGGAAGGACCTTGAAAACATATTTTAAAAAAATCCACGCCTATGGAAGGACCTTGAAAACATATTTTTAAAAAATCCACGCCTATGGAAGGACCTTGAAAACATATTTTAAAAAAATCCACGCCTATGGAAGGACCTTGAAAACATATTTTTAAAAAATCCACGCCTATGGAAGGACCTTGAAAACATATTTTTAAAAAATCCACGCCTATGGAAGGACCTTGAAAACATATTTTAAAAAAATCCACGCCTATGGAAGGACCTTGAAAACATATTTTTAAAAAATCCACGCCTATGGAAGGACCTTGAAAACATATTTTTAAAAAATCCACGCCTATGGAAGGACCTTGAAAACATATTTTTAAAAAATCCACGCCTATGGAAGGACCTTGAAGACATATTTTTAAAAACTCACGACTTTGGAAGGACCTTAAAAAATTATTTTTCAAAATTCACGCCTTTGGAAGGACCTTGAAACGCACATTTTAAAAAAATCCACGCCTATGGTAGGACCTGCAAAACATCTTTTTAAAAAATCCACGCCTATGGTAGGACCTGAAAAACATATTTTTGAAAAATCCACGACTTTGGAAGGACCTTAAAGGACCTATGTTGGGCCTCTGGAAGGATCTTAATAAAAATATTAAAAAAACCTACGTCTCTGAAGAGACCTTAGAAGGACCTTAATAAAACATTTTAAAAAATCTATGCTTATGTTAGGCTCATGAAAAAATATTTTTAGGTCCATGAAAAACAATTTTTTTTAATCAACGCCTATATTGGGACCTGCAGTACCAATTTCCGCGACATTCCCTTCATAAGATCACCTTGGAAGGAAGGAAGGACCTTGAAGGACCTATGTTGGGCCTTTGGAAGGACCCTAATACAATATTTTTAAAAATCCACGCCTCTGAAGGGACCTTAGAAGGGCCTTAATAAAACATTTTAAAAAATCTATGCGTATGTTAGGCCCATAAAAATATTTTAGGTCCATGAAAAACTATTTTTTTTTAAATCAACGCCTATATTGAAACCTCCAGTACCTTTTTCCCCATCATTCAGTCCATCATCAGATCACTCCACTTCTTTTTATAATTCCATTTAAATAAAATGTTTCCCACAAAAATATTTGCAAGCAAGTACCACCCGGTACCCCACCAAGACTTAAAAAATCTCAATCGTATATTATTGGTCTAAGCAATACAACAATTATCAACGATGTGCATATACGGTCGAAAGCCAGACCCATTTTTCAACCAAATATGCAACCTCTCCCATCGATTTTAAAAAATTCGGAAAAATGTAAAGATCTCTATTATCACAGTCTCAATGAGGCAGACTTCGATGCCATAACGGCTGAGAATACAAAACAAAATAAAGTCAATAAACCCACCATAAAATCGATATTGAAAAAACATGATAATTTTAAAACGTTATTGAAAAAATCGGCAGAATTGAAAAAATCCGAAAATAAACAAAATTCAGAAGGGCAGGGTGGAGAAACAACTGCCAATAGCCCTGGCACAGAAAATGGGGAGAGTACAACTAATCTAAATTCAGAATCTGCTAATGAAAAGGGTTCTGAAAATCCGGTAAGTGTTGAGGGGGGCTTATGTATGAGTTTGGGTTTTGAAAGGAATTGATTTTTTCTACAAAAAATATTTTTTTCGTTGAACTGCATGCTATCCGCACACTCAGGCAACTGAGGGCCTACAAGGCAATCACAAAGGACCAGTAAGTATTTGTACCTTAATTTTATGTATATGTTTCTAGATTTTATGTACACATTTGTTGATTTTATGAAACGTGTTTCTACTAACCTATGGTGTTATGGTCTACTCTATATTTATTCTAATTGAAAAATATTTATCTTTTCTCTTCCTTTCTCTCTCTCTCGCTCGCTCTACACATCTATTACTTTATTCCAACACACATATATGTACATACATACACTTATACAAACTTATATATAAAATCCGAAAATTTGTATAGTCCTATAAAGGAAGTATCAAAAAGGTCAAGAGTGTACAATTGGTATGTTATGGTGATGGCAAAAGTTTGAAATATTTTTTTTTTAATTTTTTCGGAAGTCCAAAATCTAACCCATATATTTTTTCTATTTTCTTTAGCCTCGAGAACGTGTCATTGATATGTCACCCGAAGATCAAAAGAAATGGGAAATGGAAGAAATGCAAAAACCCATTGATTTGGAAAAGGCCAATGTCAATATTGACCCGAGTCCCTTCCAGCTGGTCGAACGGACCTCTATACTCAAAGTACATTCACTATTCTCAATGGTGGGCATTAATCATGCCTATGTCACAAAAATTGGTCGATTGGTTGGTGTGGTGGGCTTGAAAGAGGTAAGTCAGATATCCTAATATTTTTAAAAAATCCACGCCTATGGAACGACCTCAATACAATATATTTAATAAGACAACGCCTATAAAAGGACCTCAATAAAATATATTTAATAAAACAACGTTTATGGAAGGACCTTAATTAAATATTATAAATTAGTACTTCATTACCTGTTTCCTGTGCTTTCTTCACCAATCGCTGCAGCTCCGCCATTGGTGGTGGTATCGGCGAGTCGAACGGGAGATATACTGAAGCCAGGTAAATGTTACCACTCCCCTGCTTCAGTGCTACAGTGGCGTCCGATGTTGACAACTCTGGGGGGGAAGAGAAAGAATAAATTGTTGTGACATATTATACAGGTTCTTGGGCGAGAACCCGTATTCGCATAAAAGAGTTGGTAATTTATATGGCATAATCCAGATACCCGGTTTTTAATTGTCCAAGGTTCCTGCATCAGTCTGGTGTGTATTTTACCTTTTATTATTGTTTCCATCAGGGCCAGGGTTGTCGTTTCGCTCCGATAGAGGTTATTCCTCCAGTAAACGGTTTTCTTGGGAGTCATTGATCTTCTCCCCGTATTCACATAAAAAGAGTTGGTAATTTATATGGCTTAATCCAGAGACCCTGTTTTTAATAGTCCAAGCTTCCTGGATCAGTCCGATGTGTATTTTACCTTTTATTATTTTTTCCATCAGTGCCGGGGTTGCCGTTTCGCTCCGATGGAGGTTAATCTGGATGTCTTCTATCAATGGTCCTCCAGTAACCGGTTTTCTTGGGAGTCCTTGATCTTCTCCTCGGCTCCCTCCTCTTCGTTGCTGGGTACATTCTCCTCGCTGTTGTCACTGGCTTCATCGTCTCCAATCCTTGCCTTCCCGATTTTGAAGTAAACGGCATTGGACACGTAGTGCGCCTTGCCCTTAGTCTTAGTCAGACTTGCCATTGAAGACCTGTCCAAGACTAACACAAGGAGGGTTCCTTCCTCTTCCCCCTCCCTGTGGAAGACTTCCGACTTCTTCACATGCAGTGGCTTGTTTTGTATGCTGAAGACCTCAAACATGCGTTCCGTGTCGAAATCGCTACCTCAACCTCTCATAAAGACTGTGTAGCCCTTTGTAGTTGAGGAATGTCTTTTTTCCTCACCAGCTTGAGTTTCATTGTTCCATTTATGGGTCCAATGCTTGCCACTATATTCCTCAGGGCATGTATGCTATTTGGATACACAATTTCCAGCATAAGATAGTCCTCTTTTAAAGCGCAGCTATCCAGTTCAATAGAGTCCCCTCCTTGTCGTGGGTACTCCATAATCTGGCTTTTGACCGCATTTACCACTTCCTTATGGGTCTCCTTGTTAACCTTACCGGGCCCGCTATTCCCGTCGATCACTGCATTGTAGAGCTCGTCTAGATAGCGTTTCTGCCAACCTTGGCATAAGACGGCGGCATCTGTCATCTTCCTCTTTCGCAAAAACCGGTTGATTCTTTTGGTATTCCCGGTCTTTGCTTAAGATTCCAACTCAGCACTCGTCTTCCTGATATCAGAGCCAGATTCGTCTGCCCACGTCAATGGATTCTCGTAGCAGTCTTCTTAGATGTTGGTTGGACTTAGCTTTCTCTTACTATCGGTCGACGGAAATAACATATTTGATAAAAATATTTTTAAACCTGTAAGCGGAGCAGTATAGTCGGACGGGCCGACCATACGATACCCTACACAACTACAACGGAGTTCTAACTTTCTGCGGATGTTTATTCCGAGCCTGGGCAATATTTTGTGACATTTGCACTCTCATGCCCGATTAGAGGTCAACAGCACCTCTTCCATACACTGACATATTTTCCGAATATTTCTAATATTCAGTACAGCCCTTCTAATTACTTGTCAGGATTCCCTTCACCGTGGGTATGATGATGTTCGGTTTATAACTGTGGCCTATAGATCGAACGAAAAATATAAAAAAATAAGTTTTCGGTCTACTTCATCCCAAAATAATTATCTGATCATCACCGAAAATTATAGGCGCTGTCGTCGGCTTGAAAAAAATAACATTTTTTAAAACTCTGTTTAAAAATACATCTTTAAATAATTTTATTATTTATTCCCTTTTCAGCTCCGCAAGGCCATCGAGGACATCAATAGCAATAGCTTTGTGATAACAAATCAACTAAAAGACAATCCCTTAGATGTGGAAAAAAGTGCAGCAGAGAAACCGTTGCTGCCACAGGACAGCAGCGATAAACAGGTGAATATGACTGTGACATCCATGGATTCGGCTCTATCGAATTCCGACAATTGTTCCGACATTGAAATGGAAAATATTCACAAGACGACAACGGATGGCAAGACGACTAACACGACATCGTCGCCATTAACTATCAGCTCTGATAATGCCAATTCCACAACAACATCACCTGGCCATCAGAGTGACTCGAAGGCAGAGTGACCAGGCAGGAGGCCAGCAAGCAAAAAATGTGGTTAAACATTTGTGTATATCTTTTTCAACATAGTAGTTACTATTTAGCTAAGTTTTATTTTTTTTATAATTTAAGATTTTAAGGAAGCGTAAAAAAGATGTATTTTTTTCTAGAACAATTTTCAGTTTTTTTCCTTCATCAAAAAAAATATATTTTTTTAAAAAGTAATTATTTTTATTAATTACTGAATTTGCTTTTCTGTCATGATTTTAAAGTAAAGACCCAGTACGACTAGAAATCGTATAATTTTTATTTTTTGTAAGTTTTTTTTGTTTTTATAATTTATTTTCATGTGAATTTATTTTCTTAAAAAAGTATAAAAAATAATTTTAAAGAGGACTAGTTTTTAAGCCAAACATTTTTATTATTATTTTTTTTTTCTCAGAACAACAGCTATGAAGAAATTGTTTTTCTTCTCCCAAACTATTTATAAAATTAGACACTATATAAAACAATAAGGTTATGTAATATAATTAATAATACAACAAAAAAATTATTAATATTTGTATTGCTAGCTAGGTAAATATTTTAAATATTTAAATTTAAATTAATAAATAAAACCAATAAAGAAAAAATATAAGAATTTGTAAAATAAATTACATATACCAAATAAATAAAATAAATTTTAATTTGAAAAATGTTAAGTCTTTTATTTTTTGTTCATCACATCTTTACAATTTACCTAATATTCGGGCTCCAATGGTACTTGATGTATTTTACAATCTTCCATTCCATATTGTTGTAATAGATCACGAATATATTGGCTTTGTCCCAATTTGATCATACCCGTCTCACCTTTTCTTTCGATCTCCATACCCAGGAAATGGCCTAACTGCCTCTTATCGCTGACATCGAACTCGCTTGTCAATTTATTTTTGATCTCCAAAACAACCATTTAACCGGCGATTAACACTAGTTTGTTTCTCCTTCTACCTTTGTAGAGACAGGGCTCGTTATCACATGGTTTAAAATTCATCTTATGCAATGTGGCATCTAGTTTAGAGTTCCACTCCCGTCTGCTTTGTTTCAGTCCATAAATAGCCTTATGGAGGCGTAGAACTTTGATTTTATGTAAAAACATTCTTTCCTTCACAGCCAGTGCCAATAAAATTCAAATTGTTGAGTAGCGAGCGACAGGGTGATATATCTTTTTGAAATCAATTTCGTATCGTTGGTGACAGCCTTTGGCTACTAGGCGAGCCTTATACCTCTCAATTTCATCATTTACATTCATTTCAATTCGCCAATCAAAAGCATGGTGGGTAGTTTGTCAGGTAATCGACATCTTTAGCGACGTATGGTAGTGGAAAGGGTGAGGCATCGCCATATAAAATTCGCCAATGAAAAGCATGGCTGCTTGATGTAGCAGTTTATATGAATTGTATATTTTCTATTTAAATTTCCTCCAGTTCTGTCTCTAGATTTAAAAATGCAGCTACCTCCACTGGCTGTAACCACAGATCTTCAGGAGTAAGGTGAGTAGATTTGGCTGGTCAATTGAATAAGTGCAGTGTGGTATGAGGGCCCGTACCACATGCTGGGCAGACATTCTGCACCTGGTCATCAATCCGTGCCCAATACGAATTGTGACGACTGCACCACCCAGAACGTAACTGGGCCAAAACTACTCTGGTTTGTCCGGCCAGTTGACGTTCTTCAGCTGTAATGGTTGAGGGGTGAGCTCCGAGGATGGCATTCACTTTGTATCCGTTCAGCACCGCGGCTACTGCCTCTGTATGAATGCCATTCAGACATGCTCGATAGGCAACTTGATCTAGCGGCTCCCTTTTGTATCGTTGGACCTCCCTCTCTAGATCATGCAGCTCCTTCTTGACACGTCTGGGTGGGGGAGTCCTATCAACCATATGATGGTTGGGATGATTTCCCTGAAACACCCTAGCAGGTACTACAACTAAAGCATATTGCTATGCTGACGTAAGGGAAGAATCTTCGTCTTCTCATGAAGATGGTCCAATAGTGTCATGAGGAGGCACCCTGTCGCAGTCCTCAGGGCGACATTCTGACAGGTCTGAATACTTCTCCATTGCGTATCACTGGAGTTCGCAGACCACACTGGAACAGCATCGCTTGCCACAGACCGACCTATCGCTTTGTAAAAGGTCAACAAGGTTTCCTTATCTGCGGCCCAAGTGCTGCCGGCAAGCGACTTGAGGACTTTGTTCCTACTTTGCAATCTATCGCAGATAAATGAAGTTTGCGCGGACGATTTAAACATACTGTCGAATGTGACCCCGAGTATTTTGGGGTAGTTGGTGGTCGAAATTCTATGCCCCTCGACCTGCACATTCAACGGCATTCTCATCTCCGCAGCCAATGTGCTGAATAGTGTGGCTGACAACTTCGAGGCGGATATTTTCATATTCCTCGCTTTGAAGAAGGCTGCTAAATCGACTAGATAGGCGTTCAACCTCGCACATATGTCCTCTGCAATGGGACCCGACTCCATGATCGTACAATCAACTGCATATGTAACGATTTCTATGCCGTCAGGAGGGCGTGGAATACCGGAAAGGTAGAGGTTAAACAGTTTCGGAGAAATCACTCCACCCTGGGGAACTCCCTGTTTAACTCTACGGGGTTTGGACTTCTTGTTTCGGAACTCCACGTACGACTGGCGTCCACACAGTTGATTATCCAACGTTTCAAACTCGGCCGGAGAGAAGTGCTCTCAATGTCCTCAAACAGCGTGGCATGGTTGACAATATCAAAGGCTTTTGATAGGTCAAGCGCTACCAGCACTGTTCTATCGCACGGCCGGTTCTGGTTAAGTCCTCTACTTATATGAGTGGAAATGGCGTGTAACACTGTTGTACTGTGTTGCTAACGAAATGCATGTTGATGATCCGCAACTGAAAAGCTTTCTATAATGCCCACAGTTTACTTACTCCGGTACCAATGTTGCAACTCTTCAGGTGCTCCAACCATTTATTCCGCTTGTGCTCCGCGACTAATCTGCTGACCTCCAACGTAAGTTCCCTAACCCTGGCATCTACTGGGTTACATCGACGGAGCTCATCACGTTCGTTTGCTGGACCAACTGCTTCTGCAGGGAAATCAGGTCTCATTTCGGGTATTCGACCAGCAGGAATAGATGTAGCAGCTGTGATGAACGTGGAGCTATCAATTTGCTCTGCCAGCACTGTTCCCCTCTGGTCATTACCTAGGACGGAATGCCACAACTCGTGGTGGACATTGAAGTCCCCTAGCACCAGACGGTTATTGCCCTCCAATAGAAAACTAATGTTAGGCAAATAACACGGTTCACATCTATTAATCGGCGGTATGTACACGTTAAGCACCTCTACCTCGGCAGTACCACATTTAACTGCTACCCCCATATATTCCATGAATGGGTCACTAGAATCAAGCTCAAGCGAGATATGCCTGTATTGAACAGAGTGGTGCATAAGGAATGCTAGGCCTCCATTTCCACTTCTAGTGCGATCCTTCCTCAGAACGTTGTAACCATCACAACGCTGCATGGTTGGTAGTTTGACCGGTAGTCGATGTATTTCTGTGGTAGTCGATAAATTCATAGACGAAGAGTCGACTACCTTTACTGCAGGGCATCAAGCGCAATTCTCTCGTTGTGTACGTTGAAGTTGGCAAAGAGTTCTTAGTTGTTACACCTATCAGACGTCGCGCCGCTGACATGACCAACTAGGAAGATTATCGCGCGTTTCCATTGCGATCACAAAATTATCAAATTCCTCAGGAAGGCTAGACATGAGCATAATGGTCAGAAGCTCCTCCTTAATCTCTATACCGGTTTAATGCAATTTCTCGTACACTTCCGAGAACTAGTTGAAATGTTGTACCACATTACCATTTGACGCCATCTTCAAATTTAGCAACTTCTTATACAAGGAAACTTTTTGGCATGTAGACCTCCTTCAGCTTTTTCCAGGCTTCATGTGAAGTTTTCGCATTCCTTGTATAAGCCAAATGTGTTGTTTTAACTCCCAGGAAAATAGACGCTTTGGGCCTTTTCGTCTTCGGCTTCCCATTTGGATTTTGCCGCTTCACTGCCCTCCTTATTGGTTGTTCCATTCACTATCTTCCAAAAGCCAGCATGGACCAGGACACTCCGCATTTGGACTGACCACAGATCATAATTGTTCTCGTCCAACTTCTCTATTTGAAGAACTGGTGCACTTTATTTTAAAAAATCCTTGCCTATTTTGGGATGTTGAAAATTGATTTTAAAAAATGCACGCCTATGTTGAAGATGTTGAAAAATTTATTTTAAAAATAATTTAAAAAATTGAAACACACAAAGGTTTTTTTTCTAACATTATTAAATTTTTATTTCGCTCTTTTATTCTACATTGTTCCAGGGTAGGGGGTTGTTGTTAAGTTTTTAAAACAAAATTCTTATTTTTATTCAAATACCATAGAAAATCATTTGTTTTTTCATTTCATTAATTTTGATTTGTTTTTTTTTCATGTCTCAAAAAATATATTGAAATTTTATTGAAGGCTTTGTTTTATAAATGAAAAATCAACAAAATACAAATGAAAAAATTGGGATATATATTTTTTTAAGTTCTGAAAATTATATAGAACAAATGTCGATCACAATAAAAATATGTTTTTTTATTATTAAAATTATTTTTTCATATATTTTTTTGTAATTTATTTGGTTTTTTCTTTACTAAATGTATGTTATGATGATAGGTATGTATGTATGGTTGTTATAATTTTTTCTTGGTTGCTAATAATGAATATTTTTTTTGTTTTGTTTAATTGATTAACTATTGGTTTGGAAAATATTTATGGGTTTTTGTTTTTGTAAGTTCAAATGATTTTAGTTTTGGGGTTTCATTTTTTAAGGGTGGAAGAGGATGTGGTTATGTGGCTAAGGAATAATTTGTTTATATTCACTTTTTGTTTGTTTATAAATATGTTTTTTGTTTTCGTATGATGATATATATGATCTCTAAAACGG